GCATATTTTCTTTACTTCGAATAGTAGTGTTTCCTACATTATTGTCGATGGATGGTTGCCAATTTTGACAAGAAAATTAAACTAACTTGTCGTTTTACAACAGTTTCTCATACACATATATATATATATATATATATATATATATATATATATTGATACGTTTACTACGTTGTATCGGCGAATATGCCGCTGCTATGAAAATTTTTTTACAGAACATATAACGCAGATAAACTGCTTCTAAATGGTGTAATTACTTAGTTTGTCCAGCAGAGCGTGATCCATTGTTTGCTACTGGAGACTCAGGTCAGTGTAGTGTAGAGATGCCCGGATGGGCTCAAACTTCACCGGAGTCCACTGCTTCAAATTTATTTAAATTTTGATAGCCGCCCCGACCCCCGTACCCAATCGTCCCAATACATAATGATTCTAATTCTTAGTTTTGCATGATGATATGATGAATGGATGGTTCATTTTTAACAGCAGATTCAGTGGCGTTAGAGCTGATCTGCGCATCACGGCACGCATCTGCGCCGCATTACGGCTACACGGCCGCTGATCGCGGCCACTCAGTCAATGCTTGTGTTTATACCAGCTGCGCCGCGTCCCACAACTCATGCTTATCACATCGGTCAATCACAATTCCTAAGTCAGCATAGTTTGTCAGTACAGTCAGTAACGTAGCAGATTGAAAAGTTAGTATCTTTCTGCAGTCCAATAGACGGCAGTGCGGTGGTGGCTTGAGTCTGTTGAATGGTGATTTAACGTTGTCACCTAGTTGGAGAGACTCAATGCTAAAGTCAATAAACAATGTCCCCGTCTCTTACTCTCACAATGAGCTTATCATACTCATTTGCTACATTAGTAGAGCCCTATGATTTTTGCGATGTGGCAAACGCAGACGGAATCGCAGAATCCATTCATAAAAACGGAATTACTATATAACGCGGAATATCATGAAATTTGTCATATTTTTGATGAATAAATAAAAAACCGGTCAGTACATTTAAATCAAATCGTGATATAGACTAGTGTCTGTGAATATTAAACTGCAAAAAGACTATTTAAATATGAATACTCATGTTCTGCATGTTCATTTGATGACCAGAAAATACACAACACAGAATTTGTGAAAATATATATATTATTCATTATTATTATTTATTCATTTTAAATGTTTAATTATGGAAAAGCTGTGCTTCCTGCATAAACCTGCTAATTCAAGTTATATATATATAGAGAGAGAGAGAGAGAGAGAGAGAGAGAGAAAGAAAGAGAGTTCTATTTGTGTTTTAAAGTTATTTATAATATAAAGTGAAGTGAAGTTTACTGTTAAGTGCACTGATGTCAGACTCATTTTGGATAATAAAGTTTATTGTTAAATTGTTAAATACCCTGCCACCATTACATATGTTTGTCACATCATTATAAGCGTTTGATCACCACATTTGTGTTATCACTGCATAAAATTTGTTTATTTATATATATTCTGGTTATGTCAAAAGTTTGGGAATGGGAAGTGTGTCCAAACTTTTGACTGGTACTGTACTATAAAATACACATAAAGAATATCGTCCGATATATCTTTTTTTACTCCCTAATATCGGTATCGGCCCTCAAAAAACCCATATCGGTCGGGCTCTTGTATATATATATATCACGCTTGAGTGGGAATATGCTGTTATTGATAGTGATTACATTTGAGACCACACCAGCATTAATATTCAGTTGTGTGAATCCTTCAGGAATCTGAACCTGTATGAAAATGTACATGCAGAAAATGTAACATTTAATCTAAAGAGGGTTGATTTATTGTGATCATACAATAGCAGCCCACAAACGCAACCCACACAAGTATGCATGCACATATACACAGACGCACACACATAATGAAACATTAGCGTTTTGGAAGGCCCACGCCAGTAATCCGGACTGATCCGGGGCTCTTAGTGTGTGTTTCCTAATCCCGGCTCTGAGAGCGCAAAATGAGCATCATAATCTGAGCCGGAACACAGCTCATTCTATAGCCCGCTGGTCTTAGACCACATTAGAATCACTATGTGTGTTTACTGCTGTTTACCTCCAGATGCCTAGAGTAACGTGAAATCAAAATGGACCCTTTTGGCTTTTTTTAAAGCGCCATTTCAGCCAAAAATTATAATTTAGTTTGCGTTACGCACCCTCGTTTCCTTGTGAGACACAAAAAGAGCGATTCAAACTGTGCTGATTACTCCTTTCCATTAAATTGCAATAGCAGTAGCTTCAAAAATACACCATAAAAGTAGTCCATTATAGATTTGTGTGCACAGACTGCAATATAAGTCATTTTTTGCTGATAATCTTCCCTACAGTGAGCTGCGGAATCACTGAGTCAGTGAGTTGAACTCAAGAACCGAATCAGTCCGACTCAAAAGAAAGACTCAATTTGCTCTCCCTTTAATCTTTTCTCTGTCAAGGAAGAGTAAAAGAGATCTCAAAGGGAATTTTCTTTCCTATAGGCAGTTTTAGGAAACATTTCTCGTTTCATTTTTGTTTGCATTGGCATTTTCTTTCCTCCGCACCTGCGGTGTGGAACCTTGTTATCAAGACTGCCGGATGTACCTCAGATTTTCACAGCTATGCTTCCTCACACACACACACACACACACACACACACACATAAATGCTTTATGCCGAGTTCTGTGCAGTCAGTAAGTAAAGCTGTACTGATGTGAAAGGTATTTATGGAAGCTTGTTTCCGCCATGGGATAAAAAAAAAAAAGTAAAAAGTTAATTGCAACTTTTTAATCTCACAATTCAGACATTTTTCTCGCAACTCTGAGTTTATATCTCACAATTCTGACCTGTTCACAATTTAGAGAAAAAAAAATCAGAATTTTGAGATATAAAGTCAGAACTGTAAGAAAAAAGTCAGAATTCTGAGTTTATATTTAATTGTGAGTGTTTGTCTCAGAATTCTGACCTAAAAAAAATTCTCAGTTATTTAATTTTTTATCCTATGGTAGAAACAAGCTTTCATAGGTTTAAGCTGTGTGTCAAAAAAAAATCAGTAGTGCTAGTGTAAGGATTCAACGGTAGCACATAACAACAACATGCAAGATCTGTGCTGTTTCTTAATCAGTATTTTTTTTATATAGTACAAATACCTAAACATCCCTAAAACAAGACCAGGTTATTCGAGAAGCAAAAATGCATGATATTAACACTTTTTTTGGCAAGCTGAGTTTAAATCGCAAAAAATAGTGAGATCTGTTTAAAACAATAATTATAAAATAAAACAATAAATAAATTTAAAATGAATAAAATGAAACTATTAGAAAAATAAACATAATTAAATATATATACGCATATCTTATACAACTTTGCCTCTCAAGGAAGAAGAATCATATTTTAAGGATGTTTATATATTTTTTTCCTGGAAGACAAGACAGATATATTTATCTCTGTATGTTTTTAGTGGAGAAGGGGGCTATTACTTGACAGACGATAATATGGGCGAGAAAACTAGTAACCACCCAGAACACCCTAGAAACCACATAGCAACACCTTGTCCACCTGCTCACGACACGGACGGCAGTGTGTTTTGCATGGACTCATATGTAAAGATGTTCTGCTTTGAGCACTATTAAAGCATCCAGATGATTAGTGTTGTGAAATAGATTTTAAATAGATTTCAAGTTTCATACGAGTTGATTCATCTGCAGTGGAAGCAAATTATGAATTGCGAGAGAAATCAATCAGGTTTAAGTGACTCCATTAGCGAGTGTTAACAGCAGAAATGATGATGCTGTGAGATCTAATGGAGATTAATAATGAAGCTTTTAATGGACTTGCTGAAGCAGCTGCTGTCTGTCTCTCTGTCAGTTCAATGAGAAAGCGTACGCCGTGGTGCCGTGCTTCACAACGCTGGTCCAAGCCAACATAAAAAACAAGAAGATCTTCAAAGAGGCTGTGATGAACATGCAAGCGAAGGGGACGACAGACTACAAGACCGGCTTTCAGTTTGCCTTTGACCAGCTGTTAAATGTAAGACTCACACACTCATGTTTACCTACTGTAGTTATCTACATGAAGATACACTGGAATTTTGTATTCAAGTCCTTAAATAAAGTTAATAATAATGACTACAGACTAGCCCTAACCTACAGAAGTCCTAAGAGGTCATGAATTATTTGTTCTGTTTGTTTTCTTGTGATGTTAAATTAATTCTCTTTAATTTGAAGAGCTCGATCACCGACTGACAAGTAAGTATACATGCACTACTGTCAAAAGTTTGGGGTTGGTGCAATTTTTTAATGTTGTTAAAAGAAGTCTCTTTTGCTCACCAAGGCTGCATTTATTTGATCAAAAATATAGTAAAAACAGTAATATTGTGAAATATTATTACAATTTAAAATAAGTGGTTTTTATTTGAAAATATTTTAAATGTAATTTATTCCTGTGATGCAAAGTAGAATTTTGATACATTTTCTTAACAATTTTTTGATGAATAGTTCAAAAGAACATCATTTGTTTGAATTGGAAATCTTTTGTAATATTATAAATATCTTTACTGCCACTTTTGATCAACTTAATGCATCCTTGCTGAATAAAATTGCTCATGTCTTTCCAAGCATTTTGAAATTATGAACTCCAGAAATAGATAGACTGAGAAATAAATGAGAAAATAGTTTAGTCTCAATTCTCGAGAAAGCAACTCTTTTTTTTTTTTTACAGTCTTATGGCTTGCATATTAACTCAAATGTTAACTAAAACTATAGATATATATTTTTAGAATATAAAAAACATGATTTACTTCAGCTATGAATCATTTTACCTTTGAGAAGATCCCTGGATGTTCCCAAAGAGAGTTTTTATTTTTTTTTGCTAGATTTAGCTGGATTTGGCTTAGTTAAATTTGTTAATGCCAAAACATCCTCTTACCAACTCGGCGGAAAATTGTATTGCTCAGATGTTGCTTTTTCAAAGCGTTCAGAGATTTAACAGAGTTCTCAGTTATATTTAATTTAAGTGTCCGCTTATTTTCATATTTCTGAGCAATAAAATCAGACAAATTAGTCAATAGTGGACATTCAGTAAGCCTTAAAGGCCCTGTTTACACTTGGTCTTAAGATGCGTTTTGGTCGATCAGATCACAAGTGGACAATGGAGACACATGCCCGTTTACACCTGGCATTTTAATCTGTCTCTTCTGTCCATTTCGACCACTTCTGACCAGATTACCCCCCGTGGTGCTGATTACGTCAAGAGAAGGATAAATGGGCGGATCCCTCTGTTGGCGTCAAAACATGAGTTATTGCGCACTAATATTACATCTGCTTGTACCTACTGCTACTTACAACGTCTCTTGTCCCAAAATGCAAGATGATTTTAAATATTATGAGGTGCTTAACTGGGTCAGAGTGGGGCTCTAGCAGAAGAGCCTTACAGAGATGTATATGTTGCTTTAATAAGACCAGTGATAGAATATGGAAGTATAGTGTATAGATCAGCGTTGAAAACATCATTAAAGATACTAGAAGTTATACAAAATTAGTGCTGTCAAACGATTAATCGCGATTAATCGCATCCAAAATAAAACATTTTGGATGTGATTAATCGCGATTAATCGTTTGACAGCACTATACAAAATCAAGCACTGAGAATTTGTTGTGGGGCCATAAGGACCTCTCCAGCTTCTGCGATTCAAGTGGAGATGGGTGAGTTACCTGTAAATTTAAGATTTAAACAGTTGATGATTGAAGTATTAAAGAAAGAACTTCTGATCATCTAACAGTGTTTACAGTTGAGATGTTAGCTATCTTAATGGGATTACAGTGGGTAGAACAAAATAAAATGATCAAGGTTGTAATATGTTCAGATAGCTTATCAACATTGATGTCTCTACAGTCTTTATAATCTTATAACAGACCTGATATTGTTTATGAAATATATGAAACTTTGTTCAGACTTCAGCATATAAAAACAGAAATCAGACTTATGTGGATTCCAGCTCATTGGGGGATTGAGGGGAATGAAGCCGCAGACGCGTTGGCTAAGCAAGCTTTGAAACATGATAGAATTATGGAAGTAGCATTTAGTAAAGCTGAAAGTAAAGCAAAAATAAGGAATAATATTATGAAGGCCTGGCAAAAACAATGGGATGAAGGGAAGAAAGGATGTCATTTATACAATATTACGCAAGAAGTAGGGAGAATGAAATCAACAGGACGATATACAAGAGAACATATCATTATTTTGAGGTTGAGATTGGGGCATACTGGATTGAATAAAACAATGCATTTATTGAAAAAGCATCCATCAGGTATGTGTGATTGTGGAATGGAAGAAGAATCAGCGGAACATGTGATTAGTAAAGGTGTCAAATACGAAAATCAAAGGATAAAATTAAAAGATGAATTAAAGAAGTATGGGGTGAACATATTAAATCTTAAAAATCTATTTAAAGTTGAAGATCAGATACATGAAGCTTTGTTTAATTTTTTTAAAGAAACTGGTTTAATGAAAAGAATTTTACCTGCTAGGGTTTTTTTTTTTTTGTCCTCTAAGAAGTATACATTTCTGGCCCACACTCCAGCGCAGTAGGTGGCGGATATGCACCTTAAATGTTAGTTGCCACCCGCCATTAAAAAAGACGAAGAAGAAGTAAGCGGTCTTTTGTGGCTGCTCGAACGCATTCGACCACATGCGTTTTCGACTATCTCTGGAAGTGGTCAAAAGTGGATGAGCTCAAAATGTTTTAGACCCCATTTACATCTGTATTTAGCGTTGTCCACTTGTGATCCGATCGACAAAAATGCATCTTAATACCAAGTGTAAACAGGGCCAAAATGATCTTGCTGAGGAGAAATGTTTGAGAACAAAAGAAATATAGCCATGCAGAAGTGTGTTGATGGTGTGTACAATGTTGTGAGATTTGTTGTTGGCCACATATGTGGCTTCATCACATGCATTTTAGTTTTGGCCGACTGCTGCTCGAACAGATCGTGATGGTGTGATTGATGAGATACAGACGAATCTGTATTCTCTTCCGACCGAAGACACTCGTTCTTTCTGACTTCCTCTTTCACTGTCGCTCTCAGATCCGAAAGTGCCAAGGCATTTTAATTTCTGCCCTCTGACTCCTGATGAAGGCTGAGAAGAGAGTGCTGTAAATTTGTAATTGTGGCAGTATTATTTATCTTTATTAGAATCTTGTCAGAGTGATGTGGCGTAGGCCGAATATCAATGACAGCTGTGATTGGACAGGGTAGGGAGAGGGGACTTTTGGCTAACTCATCAGAGATAGGACAGTCGGCGGCAGCTGGCACAAAAGCAGACGTATGATTAGAGGAGCAGACGTGCCCGCACACACACACGCATGCTTAAGTGCTCGGACACGTGCAGTGCTCTGCCAAATGGGACACTGTTATAGCCAAGGTCATTTGTGTAGTGAATTGATTCAAGCAGGCCTGAAACGAATTCTGTGCAAATATGTCAGTGCAAACACTTCATACGCAGATTGGCCACAAACACACTGTGGCTAAATTTGGTTGTCAGTTCACCTTTTAGTGCTTAAATGTGCGGTATGTAATATTGACAGCTAGCAGTTAAAACGAGTACTGTGGTCCAAATTCAAAATATTGGAAAGAGTTGTTTCTCCCGCCTTCACCTCTTCAGTCTCAACACTCATGCGGGTTGCCAGATTGAGGACACACAACAGGAATCAGCACAAGTGACAATAGGAGTCGACAAGCTTTAGACTGAAAACTGATGAGTTGATTTATCCACAATTGAATATGCCTCTGATCAGTCATAGAGCTTTTTAGATGGATGCCGGAGCTTTTTAGGGTAGAATCGGTGATCTCTGATCCAGTCCGTTTTTTGGCTTCCACGACTGCAATGTGCTGTGTTTTCCTCCAACTGGCCACCTGGGGTGTCAAAACCCTATTGGATAAATTGGCAGTAGGCGGAGTCGCACAGTGACATTCCGACACGGAACGCACATTTCAAAACAAAACAACAGGCTGTAGCATGAAACAAGTATGTGAACTTAGCATGTTTTCTAAATATCTGCAAATGTATTATGGTATTTTTATGATTTAGAACAGTCAAAAAATTACATACAGCACCTTTACAGTCGGGGGGGAGAACTGGCCCCCCGACTGAGCCTGGTTTCTCCCAAGGTTTTTTCTCCATTCTATAAATAAAGGTGACTTGACTTGACTTGACTTTAATCCTGTTCTGTATACACACAGTTCAGTAATATACAGGAGTGACAATTCCAAACGAATTGACTACCAGTAATAACAATCGCATTTACAGATATTCTACGCAGTGTGTACGGAACCGAACTAAATAGCTAGTTTTTAATTATGTATTTAAATATCTATCAGAGTTTTTTTTTTTTTTTCTGTATGTGCGGTGCAAGAAATCACGAGTATGTTTTGACTCATTAGTGTTGCCAGATCTGGCTAAAACAAAAAGTAAAACAAATAAGAACAAGCCCATAATAAACTCAAATCCAAATGCATTATCTTGGAAATTAGTCACATGCCAAAATATAGCGAACTGCACCTGCCTATTAATCAATAAACTGGATCGCTTTATGAGCCAAGCCCAAAGACACATAATAAGCATCGCTTATAATAAATGGACATGGCAACCCTTCAAGAATGCGCTCTGCAAAGCAGACTTCACGAAACATCATGGCTCTATCGACGGTGGTTTAGTTAAAATCGCCGAACATAAAGAGGTTGCTGTAATATGACGCCACAATGTTGCTACGGTTATCATGTGTAAATCATCACAGTTTCAGGAGTGACTGTTATATGCACACAAAACAATAATTTAGAGGATTCACTCCTGTATTTAAATGTGATTGTCACTTTACAGTGTGTATGTGGCCATTATTATTATTAAATGACACGTTGCAAGGATAGTGTAAAGCACAAGGGTTTTCACAAACAAAAGCATCTGTTTATAAAGGCAGATCCAGTGAGTTTCAAACTGACTTGGCTCATTTGACACTCTCCAGACGAATCTTATGCATTCCTGTTTCTGTTTCTCACAGGAGACCAGCGCTCCGAGAGCAAACTGCAATAAGATGATAATGATGTTCACAGACGGTGGCGAGGACCGCGCTCAAGACATCTTTGAGAAATACAACTGGCCAAACAAAACAGTGAGTCGAGGCGATTGAATTCAAAACATGCCGGTGTTTCCATCTGTGTGGTAATGACCTCCAGTGACAAGCAGATTTTCTGTCCTTCCTAAAACTGAAAATAGCACGTGACAACAAAATCACAGTCAATCAGAATATTTTGATCATAAATCTGATGTCATTCCCATATAAAACTTACATTCTAGCACAAAAAAACATGTTTGAAATGATAAAACAATACATATGCTGTTAAATGAGGGACCAAATGCTTTAAGGGACTACTCTGTATTTTTAGACCCTTTTGCTACACAGATCTAATAAACCGTCTTCTCTCCACAGGTGAGAGTTTTCACGTTCTCAGTGGGGCAGCACAACTATGACGTCACTCCTCTGCAGTGGATCGCCTGTGCCAACAAGGGTAAGATAGTGAGAATGTAGATTTGGTTCAAAAATCTGAACTTTTCAGCTGTTCAGGCTGTTAGGCACAATTTGAAGCATCATGGCAGGAACACAATGCAACAGCCTAGAAACTGCATATCAGTGTTCTAAAAATGTAAAGAACACCTCTGCAAACATCTCTCTTTCAAACATCATAGCAACTTGCTAAAAAAAAAAAAAAACTCAGCCCAACTTAAGTGCATCGCAACACCCTAGAAACCACGTAGCAATGTGTTTAAAATGTTAAGTAGACTTTGGCAAACACATAGTAACACACTAGCAACCATCCACAATACTCTAGCTATAGTGGCTAATCTTTAAAACTTCCTTTAGCCCCTTGAGGTTAGCTGGGGGGGTCTCCCCCGATACATATGTCCATCAAGCACGCACTGAGATGCGGTTGTAACAACAAAAAATCATGGTTTATTAATCGCAATCTTTGGTTTACTTTCCAAAAAATACAAACTTCCAAGAACGTGAAAATGCAGTACCATGTGATTGAAGAAACTCTTGCTCTTGCTCTTGCTTTTCTTCAGTAGAACAGTGAAGAGGATTTTTAGCTGAAACAGTGGTCCATTTTTGAGAATAAAAAAAGCATAGCAAGAAACACAAAATTAATACCCGTGGCTCCTAACGATATACAGTATTGTGGTCTTATGAAGTGAGAAGCAAGAAACTGAACATTATTTACAACATTACAAACGGTCCGGAGTGATGCCGGTTCACAAAAGAATCATTCTTTTTAACTTATTCTTTTTTTAGTGAACTAGTTGAATCAGTTCACCAAATTGGACTGAACTGTCTGAAACAGCTGGAGCAGCACAGATCTACAAGTTACTCCATCAAAACTCTGAAGACTGAAGACCATGATATGTGCGAAATTAAAATTTTTATGGTTTCTCATGGTGAACTGATGAAGACTAGTTTATTCACTTTAAACATGTAAAACATCCACATTTCGCATCATTATTAGGTGCTTTAATAATTACGTATACATTTTGTCATTGCGTGATTACGTAAACAAACTAGTGAATTGAACCAGTTCATTGAAACAAACTGTCTAAAATTGAACCAGTTTGTAGAAAATAATAAAATTTCTCCATTGTCTGAGGCTCTGGATTACAGGTAATAATGTTGTAAATAATGTTCAGTTTCTTGCACAGACCGATCGTTTCGCTTCATAAGACCGCAATATATCGTCAGGAGCCACGGGTATTATTTTGTGTTCCTTGATATGTTTTTAGCACAGTCACTGACTTGCATTTTATGAATCACCAATAACCAAGGTTTCAGCTAAAAATCTTTTTACTGTTCTACTCAAGAAAAAAGTCACTTAAATCTCGGATGGCCCGAGGGTGAGTAAATTAACAGCAAATTTTCTTTTTGGGGTGAACTATCCCTTTGAAGCCAAAACTGTCCATTTCCTAAACGCATCCTGGTCAACAGCGTTCAAGTAATGTTGACCTATCTGACCTAACAAGTTCATTCCAGGCCTGTAGCACAAACACTCTCCCTCTCCAGCTCTCTGATTAGTTAATGACGAACGGTGGCAGAACACTTCAGAGATCCCCGCCGCCCTCCCTTCCTTCTAATTAATTAGCCGAAGAGGAACTGCCGTCGCAGCGATAACCACATCTGCAACTTCTCAGCGTCTCCAGCCAAAAGCACTTCCACTTAAGGATTAGTCCCGTGTTCTCCGCTGTAATGACTGGCAGTGAGGGGACGGAGTCTGGCACATCAAGCAAGACGCTTTTCTCAGCGGACTCCGTCTCCTCCGCAGGCTTTCATTTCGCTCACCGATATCACAAAGCAGCAGAGGAACTCCCCTGACACCCTCACAAAGTCCACATCCACGTCCGCGGCTCTCCCTGTGCTGTAGAATGCGTGTTCGACAGCGTATCTGACTGAAAGCATTCGCAGCCGCCGCTAGGTTCGTTCAAAAAGCAACGGTAGCGTGCATATGCCACGTTTCCTCTGAACATACGCAGAGCGCTCTTTGACAGGCTTGTTAAGATGCGGATTGCATCGGATTGTCTGCGTCTTATTGTTTTGTTGTACATGTCGCCCGTGCGGCGGAGACAAATGTATTAAGCGTTTTGTAATCATGACCAAGTCAAGGGATCAACAATGAGAGACATGTTTGTTTGACACGGCTTAGCGTGTGTTGTCACTACACCGGCTGTCTCTCAGCGAGCTCGTTCACACTCCGCTGACACAAACAGAGTCTCGTATGGCCGCCGCTGAATCAGAGCCAATTTCTGGTCTCTTTGATTCCCGGCGACTCGCATTGATTTGATTAGATTCTTTCTTGCGTGCTGATTGGTTTGACCCTCAGACATCTTCTGAACACTTTTTTTTTAGTTTTAGTTTTTATACTCTAATTCTCTTGACTTTGATATGCTTTTAAAGACTTTTAAATTATTTCTGATTCATTAACTGAACTAGATTTGACTTCCTTATCTGCAGTCGTTTTAGGGGCCGTCGCCTTCTTAAAGAGATGTTACGGGTTCAACACCCATTAAGCTTTATCTAATCCAACATTTGGGACATGATGGCAGTTACCACAGAAAATCATTTTGATTCATTCCTTTGTTTTAGGGGCCAGTTTGAGTATAAACCTATTAAAACAATAGAAAAGTATATTTTGTTTGAAAAGTGAGAGGAAGGGAAAAAATGTTTTTAAAAAGGGGGGAAAAAATCATAAAAGACTATTTATTGAATGTGTTGTAAATAATTGCTATATGTACACTGTATTTATGAATGAATATTTAGTCAAAGAAAAATTAATATCTATTAATATATTTTCAGTTTTGACCACTTTTCTTCAAAATTGTTCATATGCTTAAATAGTACTATTAGTACTATAGTACTATAATACTATTTGTACATAGTAATTTTTTTAAATTATAAAAATGTTATGTTCACGTAATTGTGATATTGTGTGGGGGGGGAAAACTAATTAACATTATTTGTAAAAAAAAAAAAAAAAAAAATGTATTATTTATTTATTTGTCCCTCGGATTTTGGGGACATTATTGACCCATTAAAACAGTATTACCAAAAAAGTATATTTTGTTTGAAACAGTTTGATTAGAGAAATGAAACAAAAATGTTTTATTAAATTCATTTTTATTACATTTTAATACATTTATTTTAAATGTATTAAATGACTATTTATTAAATATTTAATAAATATTTGTTAATGTGTACAAAGTATTTATTTATCAATGAATATTTATTAAAGGAAAATATTAGTTAAAGAAAAAAAAACGAATACATTTATGTTTTGACAAAACATCTAACCATAGTTATTTTTATATATATTATATATATATATATATATTTTTATTTTTTTTTTTTTCATTATAACAATTCTGTTCACCTAATTATCATATTGTGATTTTAAAAAAATTATTATTTATTCAAAATATTTAAAAATAGAAAAGAGAGGCAGAGAGAAAAAGAATGTGTTTTTGAACCTTAAACCAGGTAAAAACATTGTATTACACCAAATACAGAAAATGATGTTATTTTTAGCATCGTCATATGACCCCTTTAAACCCTCAAAGTGCATGGCCCTGTTTACTTTCATTATAAGTGAATTACTAGTTTAAAAGAGCTGATCAGAATGACTCGGTTATTTTCTTTGGTACCCTGACATTATGCCTCAAATGTTGATAGAACTTATCTTATATTGAACCAATGACATTTCTTTAGTATAGATGCCAGATAGCAAGAAAACCACAGACATATCTTGCTAGCCACTCACAGCCTATGGTGATGTGAACTCTACACCCGACCTCTGCGTTAATGATGGTTTCAACTCAAATGAGCCACAAAATGTTGGTCCTGAAGTTATCGAGACTGAAATTGTTCAGTGACCTTTACAACAATAACAGCAGACTGAGCGAAGGCTGAACTGATTTCATGTTCATGCGAATGATTTCAGCCTCGTTTGTGTTTTCAGCCCACAGATAATTAGAAGAACACATGGTACCTGTTTAGAAAATATGCATATTCAAAACTATTGCGTCAATACAAATCCATCTGTATTGTCAACCAAAAATGGCTGTTTCAAGATTTTATTGATTCTGATGAATTTGTGTAAATGTAGATTCATATTAATGAGGATTATATAAATCTGTCTTATTTTAACACCAGACCTTTTCGGTATGTAATAAAAACATTAAACATGTTTACAATTAGTTATTATTATGCTATGGCATAAGTACAGTAGTTAGATTTTTAATGCATCACAACAAATTCACAAGTATACAAAAAAGTCACTATCAAATATCTAGTCTAATACTTTAACATGTAAAATATGTAAGTATTCATTTTTATACGTGTGTGTGTGTGTGTGTGTGTGTGTGTGTGTGTGTGTGTGTGTGTGGTGAGAGAAAAGGGCTATACTTGCTTTTAAGAACTGAGAATTTTGGGTGAAAAAGGTCTTAATCATCATAAAAATAATGTCGGGATCAGAGTTACTATTGTTAACTAAAAACCTAAAAAAAAAAAAAAAAAATGTATTATTTATTTATTTGTCCCTCGGATTTTGGGGACATTATTGACCCATTAAAACAGTATTACCAAAAAAGTATATTTTGTTTGAAACAGTTTGATTAGAGAAATGAAACAAAAATGTTTTATTAAATTCATTTTTATTACATTTTAATACATTTATTTTAAATGTATTAAATGACTATTTATTAAATATTTAATAAATATTTGTTAATGTGTACAAAGTATTTATTTATCAATGAATATTTATTAAAGGAAAATATTAGTTAAAGAAAAAAAAACGAATACATTTATGTTTTGACAAAACATCTAACCATAGTTATTTTTATATATATTATATATATATATATATATTTTTATTTTTTTTTTTTTCATTATAACAATTCTGTTCACCTAATTATCATATTGTGATTTTAAAAAAATTATTATTTTGTGTGTGTGTGTGTGTGTGTTGAGAGAAAATGGCTATAAGTTTTAAGTGGCAAACTTACAGTTTCTTGACTCTAAACACCTCAGATGTTGTGCTCTTTGTTCAGACACTCTTGTGTTTAATAACGTGTTGAGCAGGCCATATTGACCCTGTCTGTGTGTCCACTCTCTCAATAATCAGCCTCTGAATGCTTAATGAATGAACAGAACAAACTGCAGCACAGCACATGCTCTGGCTAACATATGCATAGCACTCGGCCAGTCTGTCTGCATGCTGGAATATTATGCATGTTGCTAAACTATAAATTAAACATGTTTGCAAGCGTGACAAAATAGCTCTCACAAAACTTGAATGAAATAATCATTTTTTTCTATCAGTTCCTTTCATCATTGAATAAACTACATTTATCATCAACAATTTGCCACAGTGAATTCTGCTTTAAAAAAGCTTTAGATTTGAAAACAAGGTAGTAGTTAAATATAATTTTGCAGGTTTGTCTGTTCTGAACTGCATTTACGTTTGTAGCGCACAGACCCCTAAAGCTGTTGCCTAGTTAGTCAGCTTACTATATTTTGGTGCAGAGCAAATATGTCAACATTAACCAGCCCTGTTATTGGTTTATGTTGATTTCTGAACAGGTTACTACTTTGAGATCCCTTCCATCGGAGCCATAAGAATCAACACACAGGTTTGTAATTTCTACTGCTTCTTATACACATACAATACTGTTTAAAGGTTTGGGGTCAGTAATATGTTTTTAAGAAATTAGTTTGTTTAGTCAGCAAGGATGCATTAAAAGTGACAGTTAAGACATTTCTAATGTTACAAAAGAGTTCTATTTCCAATCATTTGTTCTTTTGAACTTCCTATTCATCAAAGAATCCTGAAAAATAGATTCACATTTTCCACCAAAATATTAAGTCGCAACAGTTTTTAACAGTAAAATAAAAATAAATATTTGTTGAGCAGCAAATGAGCATATTAGAATGATTTCTGAAGGATCATGTGACACTGAAGACTGGTGTACACTCTTAAAAATATGCCATAGAAAGGTTCTTCAGATGTTAAAGGTTCTTTATGGAACCATTTAGACAAAAAAGGTTCTTCTGTTTCACAAAAGGTTCTTTGAGGTGAAAGAAGGTTCTTCAGATTATAAGAAGGTATGAAAGAGCTGGTTCTTTATTAAAGAACCTTTGACTGAATGCTTCTTTGTTGAACCAAAAATGGTTCTTCTATGGCATCGCTGTGAAGAACCTTTTAAGCACCTTTATTTTTAAAAGTGTAATGATGCTGAAAATTCAGCTTTGATCACAGGAATAAATTACGTTTTTACATATATTCAAATAGTAAACAGTTATTTAAATTGTGATCATATTTCACAGTATTACTGTTTTTACCATATTTTTAATCAAAAAATGCAGCCTTGGTGAGCAGAAGAGACTTCTTTCAAAAATGTTAAAAATCTGTATAGTATACAGTGGGTACGGAAAGTATTCAGACCCCCTTAAATTTTTCACTCTTTGTTATATTGCAGCCATTTGCTAAAATCATTTAAGTTAATTTTTTTTCCTCATTAATGTACACACAGCACCCCATATTGACAGAAAAACACAGAATCGTTGACATTTTTGCAGATTTATTAAAAAAGAAAAACTGAAATATCACATGGTCCTAAGTATTCAGACCCTTTGATTCTCATTTGCTCTGACATGCACTGTGAGCTGTAAGGTCTTATATAGACAGGTGTGTGGCTTTCCTAATCAAGTCCAATCAGTATAATCAAACACAGCTGGACTCAAATGAAGGTGTAGAACCATCTCAAGGATGATCAGAAGAAATGGACAGCACCTGAGTTAAATATATGAGTGTCACAGCAAAGGGTCTGAATACTTAGGACCATGTGATATTTCAGTTTTTCTTTTTTAATAAATCTGCAAAAATGTCAACAATTCTGTGTTTATCTGTCACTATGGGGTGCTGTGTGTACATTAATGAGGAAAAAAAATGTACTTAAATGATTTTAGCAAATGGCTGCAATATAACAAAGAGTGAAAAATTTAAGGGGGTCTGAATACTTTCCGTACCCACTGTATATAGTTTGTGGTTAGTGTGATTTTTGATGTTTTTTAAGGCACATATACATATATTATCTATATTTATACAGGTTATTTGAACTCATTTAAGAGGTGTTTTTACGTAAAACCCTTTCAATGGTGGTAAAATCACTGTAGTGCATTGCCTCGAGTGGCTCATTTCTTTATAAAAACAGCAACAACAGCCATGTGAAAGACAATACTGATGCATTAAAATGAATCACAATAAACAGTTTATCTTCAGCTGATACGCATTCACAGGTATGCTCATATCAGCTTCAAAAGTGGCTGTGGAAGCCAATCAAATTTTCCGTTTTAATAAAGCCTCTATACATGAATCCAGTTCACGCTAAGTTCATTCAGCTTTCTGAGCTTCGAAGCTCTGTGATGTTATCACGATTTAGAGATATATATGTCACGCTAGAAAGCATAGAGAGAACTATAAAGATGAACGGATAAAGTGATACAGACTTCTATATTTAGCATCAATAAGATTCAAATGGGACTGTGATTTCTCTAATCCACTTCCGTACAGTTTTCATGATCCTCCAGCAATCTTTCCCGAGGCCCACGAAACCCGCCGCAATAGCATCGCTCTTCCCTGAAAGCAGTCAGTCCAATTTCCCCAGCTCTTCTGTGTGATTCTTCAGCACTCTCCACTGACGTCTCGGCCTTTCTTCTTTATCTCCTCTCTATCACCTTTTACTATCTGTTCCCCTCTTTTCCAATCCAGCTTAGCTTTATTCATTCGTGTCTGCTCCTCCCTCTTTCTCCCCCGGCGTGCGTCGAACCTCCCGCAGGCGAGCTGATCAGGCTCTTGAATAGACCATCAGCTGTTCCATTAGGCTGAGTGTAATTTTATTCAGAGAACTGCCACTTATTCTAATAGCCTGCGTGAGACAGGTGTGGGCGCGTAACTGTATATATCGACAGCAGCGGCCGCCACACCTGTGCACCTCCTCACCACCTCCTCTCCTGTCACATACTGTTACCTCCGAGAGCCGTGGACAAAAATAACCGCCAACTGCACTTCCACAGCAATCGCTCGCAGATGCTGGTGGATTTCTGACAGGAAAAACTATCCAACCTGCAAAAAAGTTCTTCTAATGAATGTATGAAAGTTGCTTGAAGAAAATTTCCAAAAGACAAGTCTAATTACTAATATAGTTTGTTTCACTGAACACATGGTTGTAAAGCAGCTCAACAGAAAATCGTGATGTAGAGGTTTATAATATCTTGATATCTTCATGCTTTATTTAGCAGATTATATCTGGAGCGATAATATAGTTTACATTGTGCAATGCTACAAGCAGTTTAGCCATTGAGGCAGTTATTATTTTGTGTAAATTAGGGTTAACTAAAACTATAAAAAAAAAACATTGTTACTTTAAATAAAATACAATGAAAAATACATTTTATTTTATTTCAGGTAGTAAGGCATTTTCGTTCAGTTTAACTATATGTGCTAAAAACTAAAAATGTAATAAAAATTCATAAAACTGCATAGACATTAAAAAATTATAAAAATGACAAAAAAAATAAATTACTGAAACTTTACATTTAAAATGAAAATGGAAGATATAAAAATAAATTCAAAATTTTAATAAAAACTATAATACATAATTAATTTTTTAAAATATTGTAAAAATTATAATACTATAATTTAGCTTAATAAAAGCATTGATTTCTTTAAAAAGATATATTACTGATGCCATACTTTTGAACGGTAGTGTATATAGGATTATTTTGTCATATAATACATTTATGCTTAATATGAATTACTCACATGCTGTTTGCATAAATTCTCAGGCTGTTAGTGTGATTAGAAAGCCATTGAGTTGATCGTGAAAGTGTTCAACTGGAGAAAGCTGCTGCCTTTACCTTTAATCTCTACCTGTATAACATTAAAGTGTCACATTGCTAAGTATAATGAGATCAGTATGAATATGAATGCAGCTCCTTTATAATTGAGCTGCTGCATTGAGTTCATGAAGGTTTATGGACAGACTGGAAATCTACAAGCTAATCTGTGCGGCGGCCTGCTGTGTCACTGCTCTTTATCCCCTCGTACCACAGAGACCGCCATTACCGGCCCACTGCTGTTTACCTTTCTCTTTTCTCCCGCGTGAAAAGGTCCGCCTGTCATCTTCTCTGCTGAAATGTGTCCCCACGGCACGTTAAACGGTGTTTTAGTGAGCTAATAATAGAATAGGTTACGCTTGTCAGCACTTCCATGTTCCAGCAAGAAATAAAAGTGGCCTAATGCTGCAGTTTCATCAAAAGACCACACTTACACAAGCTGCTGGCTTATTCCCCACATGAGCTTCTGGCCCTCCATTAACTGTGTTAAGATGTTGAAGCTGGAAGATTGCATTATTAAATGTGTTTTCTCGGCCTGGCATTGACAGAGTGGTGAAAGGTTCGGTGAATCTCATGAAATCTCACAATAAACAGGAAAAAATAAATTATATTTTGTGTGAAAACTCTGTCACAACAAACATGGACATTTTAGGAAATTTGTTTTGAAAAATGTATAAGAAAAATTTATAATAATAATTGAAAATTGAATAATAAAACATGGACATTTCCATAGTAAAGTATCTTTAGGATTTATTTAGAATTATTTTAATTATTTAATTATTAATTATTTAAGTGACGTGTGTGTGTGTGTGTGTGTGTGTGTGTGTGTTTAATTACTTTAATTACATTAGTAAACAACAAACCATGTCTGCATTTGTGATCAGAGAAATGACAAACAACAAGCACTACTCTACACTGCTCAAAACTCGCGTTTGAATCGTCAGTGGCAAATCCTTTAAATATGAAAACGTACTTACAGTCTGTGAGTCAGAAGCACCAGACTGTCCTTTGTAGAAACAGCCTTTGCTCTCCCAGGATCAGGAAACAGTCCTCCGTAAAATGCGCTGCACACATCTGAATACTTGGGTTGAACTGTTCTGGAACAGTGTTGTAAATACAACTTAAATACTGATTTCTAGTCATGTCCTCTTTTGGCAGACCAAACAAAGTAGTTTTGCTTTCATAACTAAACACACAGCATCTCCACAACATGGCGGCGGCGACAACAACAATACTACAGCAAGAATAAAAGTTATGCCTTCTTTCTTTGCGTGAATATTTGGGCGGTGTTATGCAAATCTTCCCACATCGTGACATAGATATGTGGGGGCGTGTTAGAACGAGCCGTTAATTTCAATCCCTGTACACATGGCTTGACAATAAATAAATATTAAAACTACATATGCCTAGATAGATAGATAGATAGATAGTAATAATCTATAATATAT